TTACAAATACCTGAAGTATCAATACTTTTAAGAAACACACTTCCTCTAGGACTATTCACTAAAAAATTAGTGATAGAGCGATGTTTTCCATCAGTCCATCCATCAGACATAAGAGTACAACCCGTTTTTCTCCACTCTGCTTTATAATTTTCTATCAACCCACCATTAATCAAATCTGTTTCTTTTTTCAAAAAAGAACATTTCACATCATGATACGATGGAGGTTTCAATCCCTTGNTTGTTTCTTTTTTCAAAAAAGAACATCTCACCTCATGATACGATGGAGGTTTCAATCCCTTACCAAACGATGCAACAGATTCTAACATTCTTACAAAATATGGATCCTTTACCAAATTAAAAGGAAGGGCATTAGCATAAAACCATCTACAAATATCGAAACATACATCTTTTCTACCCTTTTTCTTCAACATGGTATTCAAAGTAATTGTGGTGGTTAGTTGTATTTTATCAGCAGTAGTACTACCCACACTGCCACTACTTTTCGAATCCATAAGACTCATATCTTTGCTAATTGCCCTATCATCCAATAATTGCTTAAAAAATTCAGTTACTTCCTCAGGGCAATGCTTACACGCTGCTATATCTTTGCAATTACCTACCAAATGATTTTTCATTCTTGAAATGCCTCCCCAATAGACATTTGCACAATGAATGCATTTCAATTTCAACCTTGATCCTTCTACTTTGTCACAATGTTCCCATGTGGGATCATTAGCAAGTTTTTTAGTCATTTCTATATGAAAATTGGATGCAGGTGATGCCACTGTTGCACAAAATTAAAATTAATCAAGATTCAGAAATTTTTATACAAAAAAATTTATATACATTTGGCTTTGTAAATAAATTAATATCATTACATACTGCACAGGACCAACGATCAATGGAGACTGGGAAGAAGAAGAAAAAGGAGTACCTGGAGAAGGAAGAAGGCAGCGATCAACACCCACAGTCGGAGACAAGCAATCACCCACAGNGTACCTGGAGAAGGAAGAAGGCAGCGATCAACGATCACCCACAGTCGGAGACCAGCAATCACCCACAGTCGAAGACCAGTAATCACCCACAGTCAAAGACCACCCACACAGTCAAAGACCACCCACAGCGATCACCACCCACAATCGAAGATCACCCACAACGATCACCACCCACAGTCAATCATTCGTCGTCGATGGCTGAAGAGAAACCTCTAAGTCTCTGACCAACGATGAGCGAAGGCTGAATATGAGAGAAATGAGGGATTTTATTTTTTTTTGTAACCCTAACCACTAAAATGACGTCGTTTCAGTGGTTATAGGGATTAAAAAAAATAAAATCAGAGCACAAAACGACGTCGTTTTAAAAAAAAAAATTGTATGTATTGTGCGTATCGTACCGATACGTATCGTACCGATACGTATCGTATCGTAAAAATGTATCATATATCAGACGATACACTACAAAAACGATACATAATTACGATCCGTATTGTTTTAGGCCTATATCGTAACGTATCATACGATACGTATTGTGTATCGTACGATACTAACAACTATGACTCGGATCCATAGTGAAATCAATGGTTGTAATCAGTATTGTGAAAAGCTCGCCTAGAAGAAAAGCAAGGCGAGGCGAGCATATCTCGTTTGGAGGACTCCAGACGAAGCAAACGTGAGCGAAGCGAGAAAAAAGCGAAAAAGCGTTCGTTTTATTATAAAAAGCGAGAAATGTTTGATTTTTAATTTGAACCGTTGGATTGGGCGATTGGAAAAAAAAAAATTATAAGATGAGATACACCGAATTATCCCCTTATCTAATAAATAAAATCACAAACCCTAATTTATCCTCTAATTTATGCCCTTAGTTGCTCGTTGCTCAGGAGGACTACACAGAAGCTCGAAGCTCGTTGCTACAAAGAAGCTCGTTTCTTGCTGGACTTGATCGACAGAGGCTCTCTGTCGTTGCTCGCTGGACTCGATCGATCGACAGAGCCTCTGTTGCTGCTTGCTGAACTCGATCGATCGACAGAAGCTCGTTGCTCGTTACTCCTACAGGATCGACATGTTAGTCTTCTTCTTCTCTTTTTTTCTTCTGTCTATTAGTCTCCTTCCTCATCGATTCTGTTGTTTTTTTTTTTTTTTTCTGATCTCATGTTCTGTCTTTTGCTCCTTCCTCACCAATGCTTTTTTTTTTTTAATTTTTCTGATCACATTTTTTTTTTTGTTCTGATAATCAATACTCTGAACAATATTTCTTTTTTTCCTTGTATTGCTGTCTAGTCCATATGAAGATCCCACACAAAAGTCATGTGAATGTGAACAATATTACTTTTTTTTTTAAGCACAACTTATTGCTCGCTAGATTGATTTCTAAGTCCTTGAGATAGTTTCTTTAGTTGTTTGAATTGTGTGTCTTATGTTTTTAAATATTAAGATTTGAGATATTATTAGTGTTTATTTGAATTTAAATGTTTAAACTATGACTGTTATTAAAATTTAAGATATTATTAGTGTTTGTTTTAATTTAAATGTTTATGGTTTTATTTGATTTTAAATATTTAGTATATATAAAATTAGAACTTAGATGTGTATAAGTAATTAAACTAAAATATTTATTTATTTTTTTAACTGTTCGCTTTGCTTCGGTAAATTGTTTCGCTTCGCTTCTCGCTTCTCGTTTAGGCGTTAGGAGTCTTGGTCGTTTCGGTTCGCTTTACGCCTTAAATAANTGCTTCGGTAAATTGTTTCGCTTCGCTTCTCGCTTCTCGTTTAGGCGTTAGGAGTCTTGGTCGTTTCGGTTCGCTTTACGCCTTAAATAACACTGGTTGTAATTATCAAGTTTAATTTTTAAGTCTAGTTTTTAAGTTCATGTAGTATTGCTCGATTCAAAAAGGAGTTTGGACTTGTATCTAACATCTTATTTTGGAATTTGTTTCTTATGACTCTTTGTCTTCTTCCTATCGTACTTTTGTTGCGTCTTTGTCTTCCATATCCCTTTCTCAGAATTGGAATAAAGTCCTTGCAGAATCCAAGTGGAAAATAGTCATGGTAGAAGAAATAAGAGCTTGTGAAAGAATAAAACCTGAGAGCTTTTCTCTCTTCTAGCTAGAAGAAATCAATAGGATGTAAGTGGGTCTTCACTGTCAAGCAGAATGCAAATGACACGATAAATAGATACAATGCAAGGTTGGTAGCTAAGGGGTTTCTTCTGACATATGACATTGACTATCTGGAGATATTTGCTTTTGTGGCGAAGATGAATTCTATTCGTGTCATACTTTCATGTGTTGCCAATCTGAGATGGGATTTACAACAATTGGACGTAAAGAATGTATTCCTTCACGGGGGACTTAGAGGAGAAAGTGTACATGGATATTCCTTCGAGGCTTTTTTCTCTAGAGGCATGAAAAAGTTTGTAAGCTAAAGAATTCTCTTTATGGACTTAGGCAGCCTTTTAGAGCTTGATTTTAGAGATTTCTTTAGGTAATGGTCAAGTTTGGGTTCACGCAAAGTCATGCAAATAACACTGTATTCATCAAACAAGGGAGTGATAAGATCTTAGTTCTTATATTATATGTTGATGACATAATACTCGCAGGTGATGATGTGGAGGAAGTGGTCAAACTGAAAGTCCACCTTGTTAAAGAATTTGAGATTAANGATTATTGAGGTGGGCTCTAAATAATTGTGTCAATGCTTTGTTGAGTAGAGTAGAGGTGTATCTGACATATTTACCAAGTGATGCAATATGTCACTAATGACATGTGACCATATGTTGATTTTATTACGTTTTTTAAACACTTCCTATTATAAGTTTTGGCAAGCAGTGAAATTGTGCTTATTATTACAGAATATAGATTGCCATCTACTTCCAAAAATACAGAAATGGGTGTAACAATTAGGCGCCTCGCGCAGGACCTAAATAAACATCATCATATTCGAACTATTGCAGAGCTTAGAGATATCAGAATAAATGCGCCCTTTAAAACTTTTTTTTGTGCTCAAAAGACGACAAAATATTATTGGAAGTATATAGTTTTTTATGATATTGCATATGTAGTCTAAGATGCAGTCACTATGGAGTATACTTCATCATATTAGTCGCTTAGCACTTCAATGTGCTAAGCCACATGTTGAGTTATTGTACTTCAGCAATCCTGAGATGCTGAAACTGCATTCGAAGTACTATTTGATTCAGCTCACAATCTGCTAGCAACTTATTTGCATGAACAAATGTGATTGCTTTACATTATTTCCTCTGGGGTTTTGTTACATCCAAGAGTGGCTATCACTGCTTCTTGAACACTGTACCCAAGTAGCAACAGGAATTTTAAATTTTTGTTTGGTACCTGTAGCCAACTGCTATTTTGCTGAACTGCAGAAATGTGCTGTAAGCTAGATTGTATGATAGGAACATCAGCAAAAATTGTACTTAGAATAAATACTGATTAATGGTCATTCTACCATTTCAGATAACCTCATTGCTGATGAGAATGCTCCTGAGGAAGAAATCCTCTGTGTTCTTGATGTTCCGCCTGGGAAAATGGGACGTGTTATTGGAAGAAGAGGGGCTTCCATCTTGTCCATAAAGGAGTCTTGCAAGTAGGTTTCTCTATCACTATATATGGTATAACTTATATAGGGGAGCACCACTTTTTTTTCCCACCTGTTCTTGACTTGAGCATATTTTTGCAGTGCTGAAGTCTTCATTGGAGGCACCAGGGGTCCAGCTGACAAGGTTAGTCTTCCAGACGTGCAGAATTTCTCGATAGTTACTGTTTAATTATCTCATGTCTCAATCGATGAGTCAATCCCGTAGCACAAAGTTCCTGTAATTGAGGTATACCATACCATTTTGGATGCATTTACAAAGACTGGATGATTATTGATATTATCACGGTTCTTAAAATGATCTTGGTAACACTATATAACACGCCCTTGTAGTTCAAAAGTTGGCCACCACAATTTATTAAAGTTAGTGTTTATACATGCCATAACTGAATTTCAGCTGGAAAAAATCTGCTCACGAATCCCGCCAGCGCACCCACCCTTTTGATGAGGTGGACTGGAAAAATTTGTGATTGTACTATTGCAAAATTGGCCAATACATTCAGACCAACTGGAAAATGAAGTAAAAACCGAACCAAATGGGTAAAAATTTCCAGTTGCCTGATAAGAAATTTGGATGTAATTTGGTTTCATGCCACTGAAGAAAATCTCAAGTCATTTGTGGAAACCATGATCCTATATATGTTCCTANAAAAATTTCCAGTTGCCTGATAAGAAATTTGGATGTAATTTGGTTTCATGCCACTGAAGAAAATCTCAAGTCATTTGTGGAAACCATGATCCTATATATGTTCCTATGGTTTTACATGCAGGTGTTCATTATTGGACCAGTACAGCAGGTGAGGAAAGCAGAAGCAATGTTAAGGGGGAGAATGCTGGATATGTTTTAAGAAGTTTCTATTAGGCATTGCGTCTCGCTTTCAACTTACTATCGACAATAACAATAAACTTACCAAAAATTTGCGGTTCTGTTAATGTGCCGTGTCCTTNTAAACTTACCAAAAATATGCGGTTCTGTTAATGTGTCATGTACTTACTTAAAAATATTCTTATGTACATAAATCACCGGTTGGTTGAGATGCTGATGCTACTGCTGCTATTCTCTGATCAAACACTGTTGTGTTCAAAAGTGAGGGATGCAGNGAGATGCTGATGTTGATGTTGATGCTGCTGCTATTCTCTGATCAAACATTGTTGTGTTCAAAGGTGAGGGATGCAGACTGATCCAGTTTGCCCCCATGTTCAATTTGTAATGGAATCAGTTCAAATTGAATGGTTAGAGTGCACAATTAATCAATTTGAGTGGGCCAGTAGAGGTTGATACTAACTCTTGGCTGTTAATGTTACACCCCTATTCCAGATCACATAGGGTGAGCAGTGGACCGGCCACCAAGGCCTTAACCAACTATCCCTGTACATAATAAATGTAAAATATAACGAAAGACAAATAATAAAGTGATTATTTCACCGATCTAATAAATATCAGAGGAATAAACTAACATTACTGACATTATTATTATACCCATGTAAAATAATAATTAATCTATAAAGTTCACCACTCTAAGCATAAGTGACATTGTTCACAAAACAATTGAATATTTGCTTTATAATTACAAAAGACATTTATTCCTGAAGACCTACAGTAAAATAAATTTTTAATTCTTTTAATCCTTTGTCTATCCAAAGACTTACTTCTCTCCTTGATAATCACTTGAAAAATGTTAAATGTTTGGGTGAGCACTAAGGCTCGTGAATAGCAATCACCTCTAATGAGGCGTGAAAATAAATCTCAGAATTTATATACAAAAATAAGTTGTGATACATACATAAGTACAATAAATTGTATCCCAACCCCTCCCATATAATTATTTAAATAAAATAATTTCATGATCACAAACAATTTTGTAAATGAAAAGATATTTATAACCCAAAACACCATTCATTTTCATGAATAACTTTATAAATGAAAAGACATGTATAACTCAAAACACTCACACACATTCAATTCTCAAACACATTTGTTAAATCATGTTTATTACCACTAGCCTGATAACTGACCCAGTTTTTTGTTATCATTAGCCTGATAACTGATCTAGTCTCTTGTTATCATTAGCCTGATGATTAGCCCTGTCTCTTATTACCACTAGTCTAGCAACTGACCCAGTCTCTTTATCATTACTAGCCTGATGACTGGTCCAGTCGCTTCTTACTACTTAGACCCAGTAATCCCAGTCTCAGTCGCTTGTTACCACTTAGACCTGGTAATCCCAATCCCCGTCTCATAAACATGATTTCCACACATACAAAAATTGTAGTTTTAATTCTAACGCACACAAAATTTTTCTTTCATCACCAAAACAATGATATAAAATTTTCCCACAAGTTTTCCAAAATTCAAATATATAACAGTTCACAATTACCAAAACATTCAGTAACAACTCCAAACATTAACATATATATCTTATATATGAAAAATTCAAACGCACACACTCATACATTTAATATAAAAAATTCTTCTAAAAGAAGTAGTAAAATATTCACCTTGATTTCCAAAATCCAATTCAAATTACTCTTTCCCAATTTCAATGCAATCATCACCTAATCCAAAATAACATATCACAATCAATCCCTATTTCTAATTTCGTCGTTTTGCGATTATATATTTAATTTTTATATTTTCCACCCATTGATATATACTTAATATATCTTTTACATATAAATATCCTTTATAATATGAGGTAATAGGGTATGGAAATATTCTGGGTTATTTGGAAAAAGTTTCTAAAATTGTGGGGTTGAATCATAATTTTTGAAACATTTGGGTCAAAGTGCAATTTCCTTGAAAAACAAATTTTTTGTTCTCCATACTGCCATAATTTTTCCAAAGTTTAATTCTTTCAATTTACCAAGTAAAAAAAAATGGTTAAAATTAAGTTTAGAAGAGTATAGAGTCAAAGTAAAACTCCTTGAAACTAAAGGATATGTTTTTGTAATTAAAAGGAATCCATCTTCTTCGCCCACCGAAAGTTGCAACTTTTCTTCTTTCTTCCCCTTTGTTTTTTTTTTTTTTTTTTGCTTTGTAAGACATTAAATAAATTCTTTAAAGGCCTCAAAACAATAAATCTATATTAGGTCTCAAAACACATAAATTAACAGTTTCCAACAAAATTCATTTATACATTCATCACTATTCTTCACCATGAATATATATAAAAATATTCTTTATTACTATTTATGATAACCTTAATACTATGTAATTGAATAACTTACAAACCTACCAATAATTAATAAATTCATACCTTTAATGAGTCCACTCCTTTTATTTTTTTATTTTTTCCTTTCATTTTTCTTTCTACTTTCTCTCGGTCTCTCTCTTTCTTTCTTTCTCTATGCTGCCGCCTATTCCTTCTAGCCCAACAATACTAATAATATACGAGGCAACTAGGAAGTCAATTTACTTATAAAACACGATAGTTATCTCCTTTTAATATCACTTAAGTCCCTCTAATTTTTTAGAATTACAATTTTAACCATAACATATTAGCGTGCAACCAATTTTAAATTTTTTAAATAACTTCCTCTCTTTTTATTTATTTATAAAAAAAAAATTAAAATCCAAACATATACCTGTATTGAGTATTACAGTTAAATCTGTAATATAGGAAATACCAAAACAAAAAGAAGATGGGAAGATGTAATTAGTGCTACAAGATATCCCTTCTAAGGAGAAGTCTATGGTACCAAAAAAAAATATGGAAAGGTGCCGTCATTACAAATTTTATTGTTTTTTTAAAATAATTTTTAAGGTCATGTTATAATTTTTGTGGTAACTTATAATCAATTTAGAATTAATTGTTAGTTACCAAAAAAAAATATAAATTTTGTTGTAAACAAAAAAGAAAACTTATATACAAATTCCCACAATAATTGTAAATTTTGAAAATATTTATACTATTTTTAAAAGTAGTTTAAGGTGAATTTTTTTTAATTTTCTTATTTACCCTTTAATAATTCTTTTTCAGTACGGTAGTCTTTCCCTTCTGAACTAGAAGATTTGAATTACAGAATGAAACTGATGCCTAGAACATTGTCGCTTGTAAATAAAAGAGCTGATATGATGATTGGCACATCATTTGATATGTGTCAGAAATGGGAAAAAGAAAACAAAAGACATAATATTCTCTCTCTTCCCTAGAAAATCGTCCATACAAAATTTAGGATTAAAATTCCTTTAAATACATTTTTTTTTTAATTTTTTTGAATGACTGATCACTCATCATGCATGCATTGACGAAAGACCATTCCCCGATTTGTGATTCACATCTTTGAGCAAAAGTTATGTTAATTTTTTAATTTTTTTGTATTATCTAATTATATCTCGTATCCCGCAAGGGATATATATTGGTAAAACATTCCCGACGATTTACTACTAAAATAATTTGATGAAAAGTGCATTAAATAGGATCTAAATCTAGTCTTAATAGAGTTCTATCCTGCTGTTATGTGGTATTCTTTCTTATATGGAAGATAATTTCCATCTATTTAGTAAGTTTGAAACTGACGTCCAACTGAGGCAAGGAAGAGAGAAGTCATTGGAAAGTGTAACTTGTTACAACTGTGGTATTCTTTCTTATTTTTATGCATATCTTATTTTAGATGCAGCTCCACCCCTGGATCAGAATCCCACTTCTTCTCAAGTAGCTACAGTGGGTTCCATTTTGGTATCTTTCATCGAACCTTGAAACAAATCGTTGAATCCTATTTGGGAGGTTCCACCTCCCGGCTCTAAAATGCGACCTTTGGAGACCTTTCGACTGACTAAAGAGCTAGTTCAGCAAAGGGCATCAAATAACGTTTTAATAGTGACCTTTGGTAACTTTGCCTTCATGGATTTTATTCTAACACTCGACGACTTTGGGTCTTGACATTCTTCTTGTTGGTAAGTACACATTCATTTGTTTCTTGGTGCACGTACATGACCTTGAACACTGTAGAATCAAGATACTAGTCACATATATACAATGAGTCATGAGTTTCCTTTCTATATTGTTTACCTTGTCATTTTTCTCAATTTGCCTGTTGAGTTACTCATACTTTCTTCTTTATGTATGCATCTTATTATTTTTGGCTTGCTATTCTTAAAGAGCAATAATTTCTTTCTTTATCCATTTGTTGTCCCAATCAATACCTTCTTATGTTGTTGTCCTTTTTATTGGTACACGCTTTTGACTATTTGATATGTTGTTGGAATAAAATCCGCTTCTATATCTTACTCGTTTTCTTAAAGCAGATGTCTTAGTTTCAACTGATCAAGTTATACCGACTGTTTCTGATGACAGATTAGACATCTGGCAACAAGTCACAGTTTAAATGCAATAATATCTAACTCTCATCAGCATCTTTTAGAGTTGTTCCCAAGTGCTATCTGATGTCAATCTTATATACTTCTTCACTGCATGTATCTAATCTTGAAATGGGTTCTATTTTTTCTTATATCATATTGTTAAGAAGAATTGTTTGTGTGTCTGGTGTGTTGGTACACATGAACACAATTTACTAGTAAAAGTTGTTAAAATACTTAAACAACTAATTGACTTGTTTGGTACCATAGGGGTGATGCTAAGGCTGAATGGGGGCGGCTAACCACATAAGCCTTTAGGCCTGTACACTTGAGGACAACAGGTATTGTTTTGTAGAAGTGTGTTACTATTCTAGCGGCCCATGCTATTTATGAAAATTGAAAATTTGAATGGAGTATGAAAAAGTCATATCCGTAAGTGAAAAGGAGAATTTCAAAATTCGAAGATATATGGATAAATTGGCAAAGCGATATCTAAGCAAACACCTACTCTCAATAATTTCAAAAACCAATCAACTTGAGGATTTACAA